AAAACCTAATAGAAAACCAAAAAATTAAAAGGATAACATTACTTACACTTTTTAAATCCGCCCAAACTACAAAATACAATGCCTAAAGCTCAAAAATTTACACTTACTTAGCATGCTGCAGCTGAATTTGCTAGCGCTATAGTTTAAATATATACTATGATAATTTAGATTTAACTCTGTCCTATTGCAATGTGAAATTGTCCTTGCGATAACATTCATTGCATTTTCAAACGTGACCACTATGTTACAGAAAAACGGGTTAACAACTCCCTGAAGAATAGTTTGTACTGATTTTTCTAAACACAGAGTTCATATAGCCTGTTAAAACCTGAATAAATTTCAAAAAAGACATTCCAGTAAATTGAGGTAAATATGAAACGAATCGAGATTAAAGTCAACGACACATATTTACTTTTTTTTACGTAAAAAGGGCCAATATTAGGGTCTCATGCAAAATTGGAATAATTGGTTTATCGGCCAATTAGCTGAGCCAGAAAACTTATGTCTGCTTTAATGGACATGTGTTGTAGAAATCTTTGAAAGTACTGCATAAAGTGTCTACAGATATGTATTAATCTAAAACTATTTCACTGAGAGTATCAACAAGAACGAGGAGATTTTTTTTAAGAACATATCTACAGTTTGGCTTTTCAATGGATTAATCTCTTGGATATCGCAAAAGTGCGAACAGTTCCTTTTTGATTAAAATCTGACAAGGTAAGCGATCTAGTAAAATAATTTTCTGTTCTATTTGTGGGATCCAAATTGATTGAGAATCTTATAAACTATGCATCTTGAACATCAGCGCTGGTTTGAACAGTATTTATTTGTATCCACCTGACCACGTAAGAGCAATTTTACAGATAAAACCATTATTTTGTTTTAATAGATATCTCAAATTTATGTCTACTAACCGAGGTGACCAGAGCGCTACCTGTAGCCAGGAGTTGCAGAGCGCGAAGTCTAACAATTTAGTTTGATTTTGTACAAGAAACGCAAAGCAAAAAAACTAAAATATGCATCACTAAAATCATGCATACAGATCGACAAATTAGTAATACGTTGCAATTTAAATTCAGACTGAAGGATAGAAACGCTGTTACCAAGCAGGTGTATTGTAATGGGTGTTCCTAGGTTATTTATCTTCGAACGGCATTATCTTCATTTTGTAAAATATATATTTATCAGATAGCGTCAATGAACTTGTATTTTTCAAAACAATAGAAGTAGCTCGGTTGTAATATTTTCAAACCATTATTGTGAGGAGGGATGCTGTAACGTAGGTAATATTCGTCGTCATTCAGCATGCTAAAGGTATCTAACATTGAAAAAAAATCCAAATGTATATCGCATATTTTATACCATGCTAGCATAGAGATGACATGCATATACTTTAGAAAATGGCTTAGATTGGACAATATTTTGACAAAAGTCGTATTTTTACGCATTTATTAGCAAAACACATAGTTTCGCTGGTGTCTCCCTTAAGAGTCTTCTAGGTACTGTATACTTTCAATCAATAAACAGATAATATAGTGCACTTGTGTTTTCACCAAAGTATTATTTCAAAAAAACAATATAATATGCTGTTAACATGCACGACAAACAATAAAGAAGCATAATTCCAAACCTTAAGGATTTGCCAAAGTTCCACAAATGTGCGCTTTCGGAAGTTCTTCTTTGACGACTTAACCGCCCCGACTGCGGTCACCCAATGGGAAAGGAGAGTTCCTCCATGTCAGTTTTTATGTGATTGGACAAATCCGCTTGACGGTAACTTGGGTCGCATTGGCCGAAATGCTTGGCTTCACTTCATGTTAAGCACTTCGTTGCCATTAAATATGACTAGTTAAGGTTACCGTAAATGCAGTGGGCAATGATGAATGAACTTTAAATGCACCAATGTGGTAGGCAGGCCTCAATTTACTAGTTTACGTGTTAGCACTAATTAGCTTCACCGCGGGTTAATTAGTGTCTCCATAAATTAACCGCCTTTGAGGAAAAGGGCTTTTTGAAATAAGTAAATGTAAAAAAGGTTTTCAAAAATGCATTCAGGTGGGAAAGGGTTGTGTCTAGTAGCTAGGTAAATTTTTGTTTAATATTTTTTATTTCCTTAGAAATGGATTTTTGAACTCGATGTAGATTAATATATTCAAGGTCCATAGGATGAAGCCGAAAATGGACAAAATATGCATGTATTTGGGTCAAAACTAATTAGCTACTACGTAAAATAAACAGGCATAGAGCAGTATAACATTATGTTGTTATTCATTACACTAGTAGCATAAATACTAGCGGACAGCGTTTGGGACTGACTTATGTTTTACATCAAAAGTTTATAACATATTAAAATAATAAAAAACGAAAACACGGGTTTTGAAATATATGTGGACCATACTCTATACATAATAGGCAATGTTAATACAATGGCAGATACGGTGAATT